ATTATCACTTGTTATGTCCTTCACTCTGAGATCTAATTTGTCAGATATAAGTATTGCTACCCCAGCTTTTTTTTTTTTTTTTTTTTGATTTCCATTTGCCTGGAAAACTTTTTTTCCATCCCTTCACCCTCAGTCTGTGTGCATCTTTTTTTCTGAGGTGGGTTTCTTGTAGACAACAAATGTATGGGTCTTGTTTTCTTATCCAATCTGACACCCTATGTCTTTTGATTGGAGCATTTAATCCATTTACATTTAAGGTTATTATTTATAGGTACTCATTTGACACCATTTTTATTCTATACCCGTGTTTCTTCTTCACTTCCTATTTCTTTATTTTTACAGTAGACCCTTTAGCATTTCTTGCATTGCTGGTTTGGTGGAGATAAATTCCTTCAGTCTTTTTTTGTCCGTGAAGCTACTGATTTCCCCTTCAATTTTGATTTATAGCCTTGCTGGGTACAGTATTCTTGGATTCAGAACCTTCCTTTGCATGACTTTGTATATTTCATCCCATCCCCTTCTGGCCTGATATGTTTCTGTTGAGAAATAAGTTGCTAGTCTGATGAGGGTTCCTTTGTATGTAACTTTCTGTCTCTTTCTGGCTGCTTTTAAGATTCTTACTTTGTCGTTGTTGTTTGCCAATTTAATTATAATGTGCCTTGGAGTCTGTCTTCTGGGATTCATTTTGCTTGGGACTCTGCGAGCATCTTGGATTTGTGTGGGTTTTTCTTCTCTATCTCAGGAAAGTTTTCTGTCATTATTTCTTGAAATACTTTTTCCATGTCTACCTCAGTTTCCTTTCCTTCTGGAACCCTTATTATTCGAATATTATTTTGTTTTGTATTGTCCAAAAGCTCCCGTAGGCTCTCCTGCTTTTTAATCTTTTTTTCTAGAAGCTGCTCTAATTGTGTATTTTTTTCCATCTTGTCTTCTAGCTCACTGATGCAGTCCTCTGCTTCATCTAGTCTACTCCTGATGCTTTCTATTGAGTTCTTCATGGTAGCGATGTCATTTTTCATTTCTTCTTGGTTCTTCTTCAATTCTTCTTGGTTCTTCTTTAATTCCTCATGGCTCTTCTTCAGTTCCTCATGGTTCTTTCTCATTTCTTCTTGGTTATTGTCAAATTTCTCTTCCATTCTTTTTAGCCATCCTATGATCATTACTCTGAATTCTTGCTCTGGTAGGCTGCTTGCCTCTAACTCGTTTACTTCCTTTTCTGGTGATGCCTGCTTTTCTTTCATGTGCGGCCTATTTCTCTGTCTCCCCATGGCCTCTCTATTCAGGATGGCTGGTTAAGAGGTGCTTTTTCTCCTTTCCGTGGGTGATTGAAGAACTCCCTTGAATCCACGTGTTCGCGCCAATTGGGGCATCACAGCTGCTCGATGGACTCCTCCGCTGTGGGTTTTTCCAGGCCTCAGAGAAGCTCCTCCTTTCCTGGTAAGATGGTGCAGCCTTCCCTCCGGGAGAGCTCGCCGGGAGAGCTCACTGCAGCCGCTGCAGTGCTGGTCGCTTGGTCAGGAAATCCTGTCCAGCGGACCCTTCCTTACCTTCCTTGAGAATTCTGCTGCTCCTTAGCTGCCCATCAACATTCCCTGAGCAACTCAGAAGCTGCTTTTATCTGTTCTGGGACCGGAGTCGGAACAAGTCCATCTGTTTGGTCACCATCTTCAAGCTCTGCCCCTAAAATACTTATTTTAAAAATGAGAATAAACTGTTTGCATATTCACAACTATAAGCCTATTCACCTCTGTGTTCTTAGAGCTGACAGGGGTCTTACCCAGTGTTGTGGGGAGGGGTGATATAATTCCTTCAAACCTTCCATTCCAGACACATCTCCTTGGATCCTTGATGCTTCTCTGTGTACACAGAGCACACACAAGGAAGACTTTGGCAGCTTGATTCTTCTTAGGGACAAGTTGATAATCACAATTTTATGGAATGAATAAATGGCATTAATAGCTCTTTTTGTGGAAACCACGATGGTGGCATTGGTAAACACCTGAAATTGCTGCCTCGCACAACCACTTCAAAACTACAACTAAAAGACAAAATGGACATTATCCAGAACCATAGGAAGGCTGGATGAGTCAAAATTCTACAATTAGAAGGCAAGAGAAAAGCACAATGAAGGTGCAGAAGTAAAATCTCTGTAGGTGCCCAAGCGGAAAGGGCTGGCAACTGAGTACACAGTTGTCTTTTTCAGTCAGGAGGGAGACAAAAACTCCCAACTGCTCTGAACTCCAGTTCTGGGGGAGACTCTGGAGACCCAGACTCATATAGGGAGAAACAGGACTGTCTAGCATTGGGTGGAACTTGAGGGCAGCTTTCTCTCAGAGGAGCTTGCAGCAATTTCCAGGAGGCACTTAGGGCAGTGCTGAGGATCAGCCATAGTTGTTTGCTCTACCCTATTGATTCCTTGAGACCCCGCCCCACCCAAGCTGTGCCCAGAGATCTTTGCATATGAATGCCCTGGCCCTTTACAGTCTAAAATTACCTAACAAATTGCAGCTGTATCACAGAGACACAGAATATCCAAAAGAAAGCGCAAGGCCCCACAGCAACTTTTAGTGCTCCACAGCTGGGCCTCATATGGGCACCTCCAAACCCCAAACACGAAAGAGGAATGTGCAGATCTCTCCATAGCTCCTGCTGGGTGGCCTCAGGCAGAGGCTAAATTAGCTCCTCATTGGAGAGTCAAGATCCAGTGTACCCAGGGGTTACAGTGGGACCATTCTGATTACAACTTCTCAGATCCATAACTGACATATTCAGGGGGCATACTCAGTGAGCACCAAATCTCCACTGAAGCAAGTCTTGCCTCATAAGGGTGTCTCTAGCACAGAAGTTCTCCCAGGTAGACAGAGCTGATCCTCACAGCCAATTTGTCTGGAGGTCAATTCCTCCCAGTGATACCATTAACAATCAAGGGTTAACTACAACAAGTCTGTGCATACAGTCCACAAATGGATGTACCCAGAGGATGCATATTCAATTGACACTGGGCCCTATAGGACACCTAGAACACAAAGCCACTCTATCAACACAGGGAAGCAGCCAAAATGCAGAGATAAAGAAATGGGTCACGAATGAAAGAAATGGAGGAAAGAAAATGACTAGATATAGAGTTCAAAACCATGGTTATAAGGTTTTTCAAGAATTTTCTAGAAACCACTGATAAATTTAGTGAGACCCTCATGGATATGAAAAGGACCAACTAGAAATTAAGCCTACAGTGACTGAAATAAAAAAAATAATATACAGAGATCCAACAGCAGACTTAAAGATCATAAGAATCAAGTCAAAGATTTAAAATACAAAGAAGCATAAAACACCCAACTTGAAAAGAAAAAAGAATCCAAAAATATGAAGACAGTGTAAGGAGCCTCTGAAATAACTCCAAGTGTACCAACATCACAATTAAGGGGGTTCCCGAAGAAGAGAGAGAGCAAGATATTGAAAACCTATTTGAAGAAATAATGACAGAAAACTTCCCACACCTGGTGAAAGAAATAAACTTACAAGTCCAGGAAACACAGAGATCCCCAAACAAAAGGGAATCCAAAGAGGACCACACCAAGACACATCATAATGAAAATGCCAAGAGCAAAAGACAAAGAGAGAATATTAAAAGCAGCAAGAGAAAAACAGTTAGTTACCTACAAGGGAGCACCCATACAACTGTCAGCTGATTTCTCAACAGAAACTATGCAGGCCAGAAGGAAGTGACAAGAAATATCCAAAGTGATGAATACCAAGAACCTATAACCAGGATTACTTTACCCAGCAAAGCTATCATTCAGAATTAAAAGGCAGATAAAGAGCTTCACTGACAAGAAAAACCTAAAGGTGTGCATCACCACCAAACCAGTATTATGTGAAATGCTGAAAAGTATTCTTTGAGAAGAGGAAGAAAAAAAAGGTAAAGAAAAGTTTTGAACAACAAATACATATCTATCAACAAGTGAATCTAAAAATCAAGTGAATAAAAAATCTGATGAACAGAACAAACTGGTGAATCCAATAGAATCAGGGGCATAGAAAGGGAGTGGACTAAGAATTCTTGGCAGGAGGGGCATGGGGATGTGGGAAGAGACTGGACAAAAATTGTACATCTATGGATGAGGACAGTGGGATGTAAGGGCAGAGGGTAGGGTGGGAACTGGGTGGAAGGGAAGCATGGCGGGGGAGGAACAATTGTAATAATCTGGACAATAAAGATTTATTTAAAAAAAATACAGTGCTTTTTCCCATAGGATTGCTCATAAGGGGGCCTGGGATGCCCAAGAGCTTCAACTCATGGTAGGGGCTTTTCATGTGCCAAGGAGACCCTGAATTGTCAAGTCACTAGCACTTTTATTTACTGGAGCCCTAATCTGAGCTTTGACAGATTGAGTTTGAGCTTTGACTCAGACATTTTCTTTAACCTATTGTATATTTCACTAAGCAACACAAAAATGATTAAATCATTTAGCATTTAACTGCTGAGAACATCTGGAATATGTGTGTGTGTGTGTGTGTGTGTGTGTGTGTGTGTGAAAGAGAGAGAGAGAGAGAGAGAGAGAGAGAGAGAGAGAGAGAGAGAGAGAGAGAGGGAGAAAACTCACTAATTTGAGTTGATGAACAGGTAGAGTAGGTAACTCTCACATTGTAAAATCACTGATAGGAATTGGCTCATTTTTTTCCACACATAATAAACCTCCTTTTGCATACCAAATCACACCACAGCTTTGTTCAGAATACAGAACAAGTATCCTATTCTTCTCAGCATGACAAAACACACTTAAACATGTCAATTTCTTATGGGAACTTTTGTTGAAGTCAGCCTCTTGCTTCCACAATAATTTGAAGACAGCTGTTGATATTACTTTAATAGATGCATGCAAATTTCTTCAAGAGATGTGCCTCATTCAATAGGTATGCAACAAAGAGACGGTCAGCATTATGTGACTCTATATTCCCTGTCATATTAGTGATCAGGGAATCATCTGAAACTCACTTACCTGGAGCCAGGCAAACTGAGACAACTCAGGGCAGCCCAGAGAAGAAAGAACACTGCCGGAGCCCTCCAAGCCCAGGCCCAGGATGTCTTCATTTTCTCTCTGGGACGGGGGTCCAGTTGTGAAGCCTAGATCCATGGAAAGCCTGTCCAGAGAGTGCCACCGTCAGCTCTGGCCCCACAGAGCAAACAGTTCAGCAAGGTAAACAGAACCAGTCACAGGAAACCCATTAGACTTTGCACAGACAGAAAATTTCCCCACAACTCTAGAAAGCAATGACAGTGCATACATTCTGCAGTAGCTTGGTTTTTATTTCTCTAACAGACTTTTAGGTAAGCCACCGAAAGGGCAGGGAATAAGGACTACGGCCTTTAAGTACAGATTACCTGGGTTCAGATTCTTTCTTTAAACTTTTTTTTCGATTATAGTTTATATTCAATATAATTTTGTATCAGTATCAGGTATATAGCACAGTGGTTAGATAATCATATGTTTTACAAAGTGTTCCCCCTAATATTTCCAGTACCCATCTGATACTATACATAGTTACTATAATATTATTAACGTTATTTCCCATGACGTACTTTACATCCCCATGACGATTTAGTAATATTCAATCAGCACTTCTCAATCCTTTCACTTTTTTTCAGCCAGTCCCAGGATATCCCTCCCCTCTGTCAATCATCAGTCTGTTCTCTGTATCTATTAGTCTGTTTCTGTTTTGTTCTTTTATATTGTTCTTTGGATTCCACACATAAATAAAATCACATGGTCTTTGTCTTTCTCTGACTGACTTATTTCAGTTAGTATAACACCTTCTAGGTTCATCTAGGCTGCCACAAATGGTAAGATTTTGTTCCTTATTTATGGCTGAGTAATTCCATTGTATATATTTACAACAGCTTTTTATCCATCAAATCCTTTTGTTGCCTACCAGCTTTGCAACCTTGAGCAAGTTACTTTCCCTCTATGCCTTAATCTCTTCACTTGAAAAATGATGAGGATTAAATAAATTAACATATCCAATGTGCATAGAACATGCTTATATTAGTAGGTGGAATGCAGGGCTTGGAGTTATGCCAAGTTTTGAATTCCACTTTCCCCTTTTTCTAGCTATGTGATTTTGAACAAGTTGGCAAGAGGCTGTAGAACTCTATAGTCCATCTACCTGAGTTCAAATGATCTCTGTATGTTTCACCATTATTGGGCCTGAGGCATACTAGTATTATTAACCCATCTGGGCCAGAGTTTCATAAAATCTATAAAGCAGTATCCACCTCATGGGGTTGAGGTGAAGGTTAGATAAATCTCAATATTTAAGTCACTTTGAACAGTGCCTGGCACATACTATGTGCTCTCTCTGTAAGTGACTGTCTCTGATTCTGTTTCCTCATATGTAAAATCCAGAGGGCCATGCCTACCTGTCACTCAGAGTTGTGAGAGTCAGATTAGATACTAAACATGAAAATATTTCACAAATAGGCATTACAAAATGATAGGTGTAAGGTAATAATTAACCAAATATGTGTTGTTGTTATATAATTTACATAGAACTTTATTTAGGATATTAGATGAATTTAATATCTGTCCTCAATATTTGCTAGTCACCCTAAGAGCCACAAATGGTAGTAGAACCCAAAAGGACCTCAGTAAATGCCTTTGTCATGCACCTGTCACTTCTCTTACCTTAAAGGTCAGAGGAGATCTGTTGTTTGTCTGTCCTCTGGTTGGACACAGCAAAGGCACGTGCCACTCAAGTGTGGGGAGTCTAGCTTGTTTTATTCGAGCCTGGAAGAGTGCTTCTCCTTCATCATTTCATTATTCAGAATAGTTCACCAATTGCCCTGTCATTTCTGAGAGTCCTCAGCATTAAACTGGATTTAAAGATAATGTAAGGGGGGGGGGGGGGGGGCGGAGCTTGAAGATGGCGACCGAACAGATGGACTTGTTCTGACCCCGGACCCAGGACAGATAAAAGTAGCGTCTAAGTCGCTCAGGGAATGTTGATTAGCAGCCAAGGGGCAGCGGAACTCTCAAGGAAGGTAAGGAAGGGTCCGCTGGACAGGATTTTCTGACCAAGCAGCCAGCACTGCCGCAGTGGCTCTCCCGGAGCTGCAGGCTTGGAGGGAAGGCTGCGCCATCTTACCAGGAAAGGAGGATCTTCTCTGAGGCCTGGGAAACCCATAGCGGAGGAGTCCATCGAGCAGCTGTGACGCCCCAATCGGCGCAAACATGTGGATTCAAGGGAGTTCTTCAACCACCCACGGAAAGGTCAGAGTTTGTGAGGATAGCCTGAGGGATCTGGGTCCCGTGGCGCAGGCAGCTATGGTAGCCGCAGAGCTCCGGCAAGGCTCCGCCTCCACTGTAGCTGAGAGCGCCTTGCTGCTGCCTGCGCTGAGCTGTGCCCAAAGAAGGCTGCAGCCAGAATCCTGCCTGGCAACACCCACTCTGGGGTTTGGCGTAATCTTCCCCAGAAGTGGGACTTTTTTAAAATGCCAGGGGACACGGGACAGATTGTTAAAAATCGAGGCTGTCCCGATAAGGGTGGAACATCTGGACATCTCGGCGCCTGATCCCCTTACCCCCTTGCTCCTGAATACTAGGGAAGGACTGCCCAGTTGGGCAAATCCAGGGAAATTGCAGGGGGAAATTGCCTTCCTGGAAACAAGGGATTGGAGCCAGAAGAGATAGTCTGGGAGACAGTTGGCACTCTGCCAGCTAGAGCCATAGAGAAAGAAGGCCAGAGCAACCAAAAAGACGGGGAGGTGAAACCAGTAACACTGACACCTAAGGGCTGAAATACAAACTGCCTTTTTTTTTTCTTTTAATTAATCAAAAATAAATGGACAAAAATAACTAAGATATAGCCTACTTAAAATTAAGGATTACCTTACAAAACTGAGGTGCAGTGAAATGCTGGGAACTGCAAGACTCTCTGGTCCGAGAATCAGGCATGGCAAATACAATAACAGAGGAAGTGAATGACCACTAATTTTACTATTCTTTTATTTTATTTTCATTTTTTACATCTTTTATTTAATTTTCATTTTTTACATCTTTTACTTAAGAAACGGTTTTTTCTTTTTTCCTTTCTTGATTTTACCTTTTCAATTATTACATTTTTCAATCTGTATCATCAATATTGCTACTGCTATTTTGCAATTTTTGATTCTTTTTTTTTCCACTCCAGTACCATTTTATTTTTTCTTTATTTTACATTGGGAGTAACCTTCATTCTATTTTAATCTCTACTATAGCATCATTCAACCCTATCTCAACTCGACCTTTACACCATCACTCTCTTACTAAACATTACCCTTTTAGTCTCTGGTTTATCCTATCCCTTTCCAGCTTTAGTTTTTCCTCTATTCTTATTGTATACCTCCTGCTAAAGCTCTCACTATACTTATAGACCTAAGTTCCAATCCCTGATCCAAGTGTATAAATACCACTCTCTGCACTATATTAACTAGTTAAAAAAACAAAAACAAACAAAAAAAAACTGTTCTCCTCTCTACCCTTTTCTCATTGTTTGTGTGAAGGTTGATTATTGTGAATTTTTATGCTTTTTAGTGAAATTGTTATGCTTATTCCTGTGTTGTTATTGTTCCTTTGTATTTTTTAAAAAATCCTCTGTTTTATTTGTTTCTTTTACCTCTGTATATCATAGCCTTACTTAATAATAGTGGATATTGTAGTTTGTATTAATCTCCAAGTATTGTTACTGGCATTGGCTGGGTTCAGTGGTTGTTCTATGGCAATTTTCTCCATATATATATATAGTTTGTTTCCCATTTCTCTTTTAGTTTGCTTTCTCTCTCTCTCTCTCTCTCTCTCTCTCTCTCTCTCTCTCTCTCTCTCTCTCTCCTTTTTCCCCTGTTTTCCAACTTCATTTTGTCATTACTTTTTTCTTCTTTTTCTATCTCTTTATCCCTCTTTTTTTATTTACTTATTTTATTTATTTTTTTAAAATTTCTATTTATATTATTTTTACCTTTCTTCCTTCTCTCCTATCCCCTAATTTGCCTTTCTCTAGTGGTCACCTATATTAGAGGTTATTAATATTGTAAATACATTCCTGTTAAGTGCCTCTTGTGTTGTACCTGGAAGTGTTGTATTTTATATCTTTAAATCAACACAAGAGAAGGAACACCACATAACCAGACATCCTAAAAAGAGAGGCCATGGGGAGACAAAAAAAAAAAAAAAAAAATACCCCGCACATGAAAGAAAAGCAGGCAACACCAGAAAAGGAAGTAAATGAGTCAGAGGCAAGCAGCCTACCAGAGCAAGAGTTCAGAATAATGATCAAAGGATGGCTAAAAAGAATGGAAGAGAAATTTGACAATAACCAAGAAGAAACGACAAGAACCATGAGGAACTGAAGAAGAGCCATGCGGAATTGAAGAAGAACCAAGAAGAAATGAAAAATGACATCGCTACCATGAAGAACACAATAGAAAGCATCAGGAGTAGACTAGGTGAAGCAGAGGACTGCATCAGTGAGCTAGAAGACAAGATGGAAAAAAATACCCAATTAGAGCAGCTTCTAGAAAAAAAGATTAAAAAGCAGGAGAGCCTACGGGAGCTTTTGGACAATACAAAACAAAATAATATTCGAATAATAAGGGTTCCAGAAGGAAAGGAAACTGAGGTAGACATGGAAAACGTATTTCAAGAAATAATGACAGAAAACTTTCCTGAGATAGAGAAGAAAAACCCACACAAATCCAAGATGCTCGCAGAGTCCCAAGCAAAATGAATCCCAGAAGACAGACTCCAAGGCACATTATAATTAAATTGGCAAACAACAACGACAAAGTAAGAATCTTAAAAGCAGCCAGAAAGAGACAGAAAGTTACATATTATAAAAAGGAACACTCATCAGACTAACAACTGATTTCTCAACAGAAACATATCAGGCCAGAAGGAAATGGGATGAAATATATAAAGTCATGCAAAGGAAGGGTCTGAATCAAAGAATACTGTACCCAGCAAAGCTATAAATCAAAATTGAAGGGGAAATCAGTAGCTTCACGGACAAAAAAAGACTGAAGGAATTTATCTCCACCAAACCAGCAATGCAAGAAATGCTAAAGAGTCTACTGTAAAAATAAATAGGAAGTGAAGAAGGAACACGGGTATGGAATAAAATTGGTGTCAAATGAGTACCTATCAATA